AAATATTGTGGCAAAACATTGAAGCTTACATTTAAAATTTTCAGAATGGAACTGTTTGTGCTTGGCTCTTGTTATGACGTCATCATCCTGTGACAAAAGCAAACACTAATGCTGCTAACACTGCTCATGCTGCTAATGCTGGCAACGCTGCATTTAAAATAAAATTTCAAAATGGCTGTTTCAATGTAGGGGCTGCAGCCCACGTAGTGCACATTTGTTGGATGCTTTCTTCACTTTTCATAAGTGCCTATACAGCTGACAAAACCCAAAAAATGTAGGCTGTATTTGAGAATCCTATGCAGCTGAAAATATCCCAGGAGTAATTGAAAACGCCATGGATGGTACCCGGGTTCCGGCCGTTTGAAATGCACCAGCTGCAACTGCAAATCTGATGTCTTGTAGGGAAACGTAAGCAGTGTTAGCAGTGATGAGGCCGAGTTATAGTTGAGATTGGGTACTCGAGCAGCACGCGTGCAACCTCCCCAGCGGTGTAGGTGTTCATACTTGATGCCATGTTGTTGTAGTATTCTCCAAAACTGGGGCGGTTCTAGGGGTGGGGCCCTATCCTGTCACTTATCTGTCCTTTGCCCGAGTGATGATGCTGGGTGCAGTCCTATGTCTAAACACTAGGGGCGCTATTGAGCCAAATAGAAAAGTCCGGCATGAATCAAGGTGACAAAAGTCTTTTTCATTTCTTAAAACTTGAACAATCCTGCAGAAAAAGTCTTTCAACTTACAAATGATGGCTGGATTCTCTCACAGGTGTGTTTGAGAGTATTTTATCTATGGACAGTAAAATGCATGTAAAATTGGTAAGATGAATTTACTGTGCAAGCTGTTTTAAAATTACATTACAAGTGTTTAAACGTGTGGCTGGTAAAATACACATAACAAAACAGTGATTTGTGTGCAAGGATGCTGAACAAATACTTGGCCCCTCTATGAATATTGTGGCCCCTAACTCAGAAAAATCCTTGATCCGCCACTGCTCCACAAGAACACGTGACAGTACACTTTATAACTTGTGAAAATGTTGTAAGTGGGACAGCAAACAAAGTATTTGAAAGGTGCACGATTCATGCAGTCTTTGCGGACTTACAAATATTCTAAGGTGCACGACCACGCGACAAGATAGCATGGGCCAACGTGCAGAGGCCGGGGTGGCAGGCCAACTTTAGTGCTGTTATTTTCTCAGGATGTTGCTGTCATAGCAATGATGATGTCAACATTTAGCCACATAAGTTGCAAAACGTAACAATGAGCAAAAATAAATAAAACAATAAAATGTTAGTGGAAACTTTTTGACTGTGATTTTACACTCAGAAAGTGAGCTAAATAATGAAAATGTGTCATGTTTAAACATTTTATTTTAACAGTCAGCCTGCGCCCTATAACCCTGATGATAATTGTTTGTTTATAATCTATTATTACACGTGCTTCAGATTCAAATTAAAGCAGGCAGGAGAAATTGGGAGTGGTGACTAATTTAATCACAACCCAGAAGAATAACATCTGTAGTTTTTTTTTTTTTTTTTTTTTTTTTTCAGGAATAAATGCAAACAATGTTTGACCTGTCTGTGCGCCAAATGGTCCCCCACCCCCCCTTCTCTCTGTCAGCTGACTTCCTCTGTGTCACACTCCTCTGTCTGTGCACGCGTGTGCGCGCGCAGTTACGTACCTGCTGCTCTGTGTGAACAACAACATGCACCAGCAGAGGCAACATTTGCGCCGCTGACAGAAACATGGCGAGGCTGAGCGAGCAGGGGATTCGCCTGAGTTCCGTAAGTTTATTCGCCTCTTATAATCACTTTCTAAGCTTGTTGCAGCCTGGCAGAGGTGATGATGCTTGAATACCTAAATGCGCTAACTGATGCGTACTTTGCTCACTGTGCTGTTGATTTGTCTTGTTCCAGATGAGCCCTTCCTTCCTGAACAGCAACTCCACCAGTCACACCTGGCCGTTCAGCGCCGTGGCGGAGCTCCTAGGTGAGAGAAACCGCTCCGACTTGACGCGGTGGTCCCGAGCGCCTGCGGCCCGTCTCTGGTTCTGGGGGCAGAAAGCTTCTCTTGGTTTCGGTTCGTTTTGCTCTTCCGCTGTCAGGCTGTGAGGTTTTAACTAACTTGCAGTCAAAAAATTGACTTCCTCCTGCACCGAGTTCACCTCCGCCTGTCTGCAAACTGCGTGTGTCCCTGCGGTGTGCAATTACTTTACTTTACTTTTATTTTCTTTTTTTATTTATTTATTTTTATTAACACGGGGACTTTGTTGTGTAGTTAAACTTCATGTGTTCAATTTTTTTCATACGTTTGAGCACTTCCTCGTTACAGCAACATTCAGCTACAGTTCTGTTTGTTTGTTGCTGTTTATAAACCGACCCATTGTGTTTCTGCATGACATGAACGCGTGTGTGCTGTTGTATTATAACAGGTGTCATCCCTCCACTCTGTGCGCTCCTATTGGTTCAAACCTGACCGTGGGTTTTTAACAGGAACTGCAAAACAGGACTCTGGTTAAAGGATCCATCAGTCAGTTTCAAACCGCAGTGCCACATTCAGGTTAAAGGTTGTGTGTGAAGAGTTTACCCCCTCTTTGATTCCAAGTGTGAAATTAAATGTCACTGACACGTTTTCATTATTTAGCTCACTTTCTGAGTGTACAACCCTAATAAAATAAATTCACTAACATTTTATAGTTATTTAGGTCACTGTTTTTGCATTTTGCTACTAAATGTTATATTTAAAGGGGACCTATAATGCATAATTCACTTTTTATAGGTTTTTTTTACTCAACTTTGGGTATGTACTTCTTAAAAAACAGTCCTAGGACCCAAAAAAAATTGCACCCAGGGGCATATTTACTGTAAGTAAATGTATTTTAATGTGTATTAACGACAAGTTTTATACTTCCGTCATTTTGTGATGTCACAAGCCGTACGACAACCCACCGGAACCTGCGTTCAGCCCCTTACCCAGCAACCCCCCGGGTGAGACTCCACCCCCTCAGTATAAAACACCGTTACGGTTGTTGTTGTGCAATGCGCAGCTCATTTCACAACAAGCCTCCAATAGGACAATGGGTAGAGTGTTGGACCAGAGAGTGGGAGCCCAGGGTTCGAGACAAGCACGGACACAATTTAATTATTTATTTTCATTTGTTATGAACATGTTTTCTCATGTACCTCTATTGTTTAGCTTATTAAAGCCTTGTTAAAGCCTATTTGTTCAAGTTTCTGAGGTATTTTGACCGCTGCTGCTCCCTGCTCTGGTAACAGCGTGCAAAGTGAGCGCAGAGCAGAGGAGGGGAGGAAAAAAAAGAAGCTCTGACCACGACTCTGCCTCTGGGTCTCATATGGTTGTACAACAGAGCTTCTGCTATTATTAGCCATGCTAACGTAAACGCTGGCTTTGGAGGGCGGAGTTAATGTCAACAGATTTTTGGAGGGCGTTACCAACAGAGCTCATTAACATAAACAGCTCTTCTGAACGGAAGTCAGAGCAGGCAGAACTAGAAAATGGGAAATTTTATTATCTGAGAATTATTTTGTGCATTAAATTGAATGAACATGGTCTGGATAGCCCACAGACATACCAAAAAAATTTCTAGGACCCATAATTGGTCTCCTTTAAATGTTAAATAATCACATATATGCAGGCCTACAAATTAAATCCTATGTTTAAGTCCTAAATGTTACATTTATGTATTTTGGAATTAAAGAGCTTTGCTGTTGGTGCTCGGCGCTTGTTATGACATTATCATCCTGAGACAAAAGTCCCTTATCTAATGCTGCCTTACAAGACATCAAACTTGCAGTTGCAGCCAGTGTCCCAACTGCCAGACCACAGGTACTGTCTATATCGTTTTAAATGAATACATTTTGGAAAAAAAATTAAATGCTATCATCAGCAGCATAAGCAGTTTTAGCAGCATTAGCAGCGCTAGATGTTGTTATCCTGCAGGTAACGTTGTTAGAACACCGGCTACACGTTAGCAGGATTAGCTTTTGTCTCAGGATGATGATGTCTTAAGAGCTGAGCAGCAACAGCAAAGGCTGCGTTTCATTCCGAAATACAGTACATAAATGTACTCTTCAATGTTTAGCCACTACATTGTAGATTTAACATTTAAAGTTGGTATTTAACATTTACATGTATTATTTAAAATTCAAATTTAACATTTAGTATAAATTATACAAATGTGAAAACAGCAAGCGATATAATAAATAAGTTTTTAATCAGGATTTTACACTCAGGAAGTGAGCTAAATAAAGAATCTTTTCAACATTTTATTTTACACTTGGCGCTAGAGATGGGCGATACATATCGCAGGCGATATTATCGTTCATGTTGCTTTGAAGATATGCAATTTTACATTATTGAATATTCATACTGTCTCAAAAAGACATCAAATATGGTGATGAAGACAGAGGCATAAGTCCCCATTCGTGGAATATTTGCCACAGAAACCAATTAGCGGCAAGATTCAGTCACATGGTTAGGGTCGGTGGCAACTGAACTAAACAGCGGGCAGAATTCAGTCTTGGACTCAGGGCAGCCAAAACCACAGGTCTTAAAATTCTCCGTCACCACAACGGATTTTCATAACTTTGAACGTGGCCAGGATGGATTTCCGTCATCTGTGAAGGGGGAACTCTAGTTGTTTTCTGTTGTGGCCTTGTTAAAGCTGCCCAGTATAAAATATTCTGCTACATGGAGAATACTATAATAACGTAAGCACCAAGTATAAACACCTCCATCGCTGGCGAGGATGCACGCACTCCATGCACGAGCAGCTAACCAAAGCGCAAACCGAGCTCGAGCTGAGACCGCTCCCAACATGAGTGCGCCGCAGCCCGCGCATGATGTGAGTCCGATTTGTTCACTGATGAACATAAACATTTACCACCTCCTTGTCATCCTGGAGAACATGTTCTTTAGGAGACCATGTTTCAAATGTTTTTGTAGTTTATCATATCCATAGATGTCCTAGTATGCAAGCAGGGTTTGACAGCATGTTTTTTTAAGAAAGAAATATATCGTCAGACTATCGATATCAGCAAGTGAAAAAAAATTATTGAGATTTATATTTTTGTCCGTATTGCCCTTCTTGGCACCCCATATATTATTGAGGAGAAAATATAAAACAAAGGAAACTGCATCAAAAACATCACACAGGTGTAAAAGATCACTACAGTAGCTAACGTTAAACCTCTGATTATTTTTGTTCGACTGAAAAAGGTTGATGTTACTACACACACGTCTGCTGATGGTGCTGAGGCTGTGGAGTAAACACGACGCACTCATCAAGCAAACAGATACATGCAGCCTCAACACCATCATCATACACAAGGTCACATACATTTGTGTGGTAATGTCGACGTTACTGGGATGAGGAATCAGTTCCAAACTAAACAAAAAGTGTTATTCAAAAATGTAGAGGTTTAATATGTATCGTTGTACTCTGGTTATGCAGAAAGTTGTTTTATAAGCCTGAGAAACGATAAGCAATAGGCCCTCTTTTGGCTAGCCGTTAGCCTAGCCTGGACAAAAACTTTTCCAATTTTTCAAAGCTGACTAATTGCTGTTATAGCTGATAAGGTGATAATCATTTGACAGATCATCACTTAAAAAAATGACCTGATTATCCCTTTAATTCTGATGAACCAACAGCCAGCCGAAGCAGAGCTGAGAGTAAAGTGGGTTGTTGCTGTTTTAAAACACATCCAGTCTCAAAAATGTCCTATCAGTTTGTTCAAAACCTATTTTATAAACATTTACAACATTGGTTATTTACATACAGCATAATTTTTTTCTAATAGGTGATGTTGAAGTACCACCACTGCAGCCTGGAGCATGTCAGACAGGGATATTATATTTCTGACAAAATAAGCTAGTGTTGCAAAGATTACCAGCACAGTAAAGATTTATAAACACATATTTGCATAAACTGCAGTGAACATTTTCAGCATGAAGGTGTAAATAGTTCCTGTTCAGACTAGCTCATCGCTTTGGTCAAAACTTTATTTTATTTTTTTCAAACTGAGGTCATTTAAATTGCTATCTACAACAGATAAGACAATAACTGTTCCACACCTCTCCACAGGACAAAATATTTGAGCTACAATGATGGATGACAAACGTGCTTTTAATCAGATTAATTTATTCTCCCCGTACACACAAACACTGACAAGTTCAACATATCAGTATGAGGATGCTTTCAGGAGAAAATATTTTAAATTTTAATTAGGAAGGGAAAAGGGAGGCAAGTCTCACTTCTCTGATTTCTCTCTTCGTGTTGCTCCAGACAATGCAGCAGACCCAGGTGTGTCTGCCAAGCAGATCTGGATCGACGTAGTTAACGAAGCGGATCAGCTCTGTCTGACTTTCACTGATAACGGCAGCGGCATGACCCCCAACAAACTGCACAAGATGCTCAGGTGAGCCACAGGCGTGTTGAACAGGAAGTTTATACAAAACAAAAACACATCCACAACATGCCACATCTGAAACCTAATAACTGTAATTACGCAATCAAATCTAAATCTATAAGTGTCGGATATCTAGAAGTCACATAAGTTTTCACTCTTTATCTTTATTATTTTTTTTTTGTTTGTTTTTTTTAGTTTTGGTTTTACGGAAAAGGGCACGGGGAAGGCCAGCCACCAGGCCATCGGTTTGTATGGAAATGGCTTCAAGTCTGGCTCCATGCGCCTTGGCCGCGACGCTCTCATCTTCACCAAAAACGGCGGCTGTCAGACTGTGGGAATGCTGTCGCAGACCTACCTGCAAAACATCAAAGCTCAATCTGTCATTGTTCCCATAGTGCCCTTCAACCAGCAAACTAATATCCTTTTCAAACAGCTGAGAAGTACGAGGTGCCAAGTGTCAAATTAAAATGTCACCAACACATTTTTCATCATTTAGCTCACTTTCTGAGTGCAAAATTCTAGTTAAAACATTTCCACTAACTTTTTATTGTTATTTAGCTCACCGTTTTTACATTTTGATCAATTTTACTAAATGTTAAATCTAAATGTTAAATAATTTATGTCAGTAAAAGGGTGTTAACTAACAAGCGATAAAATGTCGACACCGCTAGCCATTGCTAACCGCTGCTAATGCTTCTAATGCTGCTGAAGATAAATTAAAATTCAAACCATGTTCATTGAAAACATTATGGTCCGGCAGTTTGAAGTGCAGCTTGGACACTGGCTGCAACTGCAAGTTTGATGTCTTGTAGGGAAGCATTAGCAGTGTTAGCAGTGTTAGCAATGTTAGCGGTTGCTATTGTCTCAGGAAGATATCATAACAAGAGCCGAGCATCAACAGCAAAAGCTGTATTCCATTCTGAAACACTTAAATGTCAACTTCAACATTTATCTTTTACATTTAGATTTATACATTTAGATTTTGAATTGATTATTTACATATATTTTTTAACATGTAAATGTTATTTAGTAAAAATTAGCTAAATGTAAGAACAGTGAGCAAAATAATAAAATCTTAGTGGAAAGTTTTTAACTAGAACTTTGCACTCAGAAAGTGAGCTAAATAATGAAAACATGTCAGTGTCATTTTTTACCTTTTATTTTTTTTTTTTACAGTTGGCACCCCGTAGAGAAGACAAATAAAAAATTAGTTACAGAACTATTAGACTCACTGCATGTATTTTTTTGTTTGTTTTTGTTTTGTTTTTTGTTTGTTTTTTTTACATGTTTCATGTTTGGCATTAGAAAATCACGAGGGCATTCAGCAAATAATTTAAATGTCACAATCTGGCTCACCTAAATGCGAATGAGCAGACTGAGGGTGAGGCGGTGCCAGACAGTGTGCACTTCAGGTGCGAACAGATTTTGTCTTCCTGCTTGTTTGGACCTTAATTCATCGTCACAGTCTCTGGTTGTGACCGAGGACTCAGGAGCCAGTCTGGCTGCCATCCTCCAGCACTCCATCCTCACCTCCCAGGAGCAGATTCTCACTCACTTTGACTCCATTCCTGCAAAAAAAGGCACCAAGATACTGATATGGAACATACGCAGGTCAGAAAGTTGATTTTGATGTGTTTTTTTTTTTGTTTTGTTTTTTTAGATGTTAAACTCAAACTTACTTTGGAGTTACAGTATTTCCGAAGAAAACAAGCATTCAAAAACAAGCCTTCCTCTCTGTTTTATGAACAGATATTTTTACATATGAAAGTTCTTTCTTTCCTGTACATTTTAAAAAAATGTGGTTGAGTCAAAATCTTTCACGTTTTTTTTTTCACTTCCTCTTTAGACTTGTGACAAAAAATAAAACGCTGTGATCACATTCGCTCTGTACAGCTCACAGCAGATTAGTCCAACTGGCCCAAAAAGCATCCATCTAAAATCTAATACATGTGATACCAGTGTGGTTCCATTTAACTATATTTGAGCTTTTCATACCGTTGGAAGAAGAGAAACACATTTGACTGCACCCTAACGTGTCCAAGTTTGAATCACTGACCTCACATGATCTGAGCCCTCAGAATATATCATTTAGATGACTCTTAGCTACTACCAAACCAAATTACAACTCAGTATCTGTAAAACAGAACAACTTATAACCACTTTTGTGCATTCTAAGTTTGATTAGCTTTAGCAGCATTCTTGAATTGCATTGACTCCAAAAGCTAATCAGTTGTAGATGTACGTCCAGTGATTGCTTTTTGAGACTTTTAGTAAAATCTATCTGGTAGTTCATGAGATATTTTGCTAACAGACATACACACATTGAAGCATTTCAATTGGCACCCCTCATTATGAAAGGCGAGCAATGTTAACTCGCTGTAACAACAGGTAACCTTTTTTTTCTTTGACTCGTAGAGCCAAAGACGGTAAGACAGAGATCGACTTTGATGCAGATACAACAGATTTTCGTTTGCCTGAGATTCAGACTGAAGAGCTGAGGCAAGGTCTGAGGAGCAGTGGATCACCAAGACCGGAGCAAAATGTCCCAGACATGTACTACAGTCTCAGGGTAAGTCATCTCAAAAGTCCTAAAGTTTTTCTTCATATCACTGATCCTGCTAGGAATAATTCAAGACAACATTTTTGGCCTATTTATTTTTAAAGTTACGTGTTTAACATTTAAATCGGATTCTATTTTGGACCTGACGAGGCAGTATGAGTCAGTGACTTCTGTTCAACCACTAGTTCCTCCTGCAGCGTTTTGTCTTCTCTTCCCATCCTACAAACGGTGAAGAGGACTTTTCTGTTTATTTTCTGCTAACTGTTCACCTCCCAATATTTTACAATCGTTTGTGCCTCAAGCAAAGTGGTCGGTGATCAAACAAGAACAGCGGCAGGGAAAAGTCAGTAAGCAGCTTCGCTTCTGCAAGAAGGTACAACTACTGCAGAAGTTACACGCAGCCATAGGAAGGTGCCTCAGCTGGGGAGTGACGCAAACATGTGAATTTAGGTGTGAGAATTTATTTGAATTTGCAATAATGCTCTGCCAGCTTATCAGTAAAAAAAAATTGTTGGTCTAAGTTTCCCATCAACAAAGGGAAACAATAATGTTGGGGCGTATGTTCACAGTTTTTAACCAAAGCCTCAACTTTTGTGTTTCTCTCTGGCCATTGAAGTTAATCAGCTTTAATCAGCTGTAGCTTCAACAGGCCAGAGGAACTCCTGATATATTCTGATGTTTTTATCTAATTTTAGATTTTCACAAAGAATTTCTTGTTACCAATTATTTTACATCTAGGTAACTGTGTGTTTGAACTTTAGTATCTGTATCTGTCAGTCTATGTTCCTTACCATAGTCTATGGTCACAATCTCTGGGTAGTGACCAAAGAACATGATCACAGCCAAAAAAGGTAGCTGGATTCTCCCTTAAGTTAATTTATCCAGGAGAGACTTCAGCATCAGTAGCTCAATATCCTGTTTTATAGACTCTCAGGAAGACCACAAGTTAAAAGGTTGCTTTAAGTTTTAAACTTATCAATTACATTTGTTAGTATTTGTTTTATAACTGTTTTTCCAATGAAGGCACTCAAATCAGGCATAAGATTATGTAGCTAAATTCTGGAAAGCCCCTTCGATCATGTGTTTTTAAACTTTGAATAACTCAGATATCTTCAGCAGCGAGGTCAGTACTTCCTGTAAAACAGACCCACAATAAAGTAACTGGAATAAACCTGGAAGACCACAGTGAAGAGAACAGAGTCAGCTGATGCACTGCTGCCGGTTCTTTCATCTGATCTAAAAAGGTTTCTGTTGATGGTGATGATTTTGAAAAGAAGCAGTTACTTCATCTTGGTTTTTGCCTTTTTAAAACTGAAAATTTATTACTAGGTGGAGTTGAACCACACCAATCAGCTTTTAGTTAGATAAAAAGGTTTTAGACAGGCAGGTTTTAACATGAGAAGATTCATGACATTGTGGGTTGCTCTACAATGTTTAGTTATTTCCTGCTTTGAAAAAGAAAAGCATATTAGCTGCAGAATATAGTAAAAACTCTAAGAAAATTGAGCAAACCAACAAGAAATAAAGAATTTTCTTAAAGGTTTCATAACAGTTTGGGCGATTAAAATGTCTCTCTGGTTAGCCTGCCAGATTAATAAGATCATATCTGAAACATTGTACAGAGATGTCACATAGTTAATGTTAGATATTTTATTTTTGCCAAATCTTAATAGGCCTGTCGCGATAGACAATAAATCAATTAATTGCACGATAACTTTTTTTGAGGTCGGTAAAAGAAAGACGGCGATAAGTTTCATTTTCCTGCTTGTTTGTTTACTCCGTCTCTCTCCCTCTCTGTGCTCCGCTGCACAGGGGCTCAGCTGACCCCTCCCCTCCTGTTTTCTTAGTGTGGGAGGAGTCAACTCTCGCTTTAGCGTGAGAGCTCGTTCCTAAAGAATCGCTTTAAAGCAGAACGCGGCTGCTGAAGTGTTGGGAGCACTAGAGCCTGGATTTCGCTGCGGAGGGAGGGAGGGAGAGAGAGACGGAGTGAGACAGAGAGACAGAGAGAGAGAAAGAGAGAGAGAGACAGAGAGAGAGAAGGAGGAGAAGGGGTGGGGGCTGAAACTCCCCCAGACCCGCGACAAACTCGTCAAGACTTTACCTGTAGCTCCCAAAAATAACAGGAAACTTAAACGCACCATCTGTGTTTCAACAAAACACCCAAAAAAAACTGTAGCTGTCCCAACAACTCATGAGGAAAACTCTGAACTGTCTGATTTCCTCCCCCGCAGCGCTCTGACTGTCCCCTCCTCACACACACACACACACACATAGACATGTTTGTTCTTCTATCTTCATGGGGACTTTGCATTGACTTTCATTCATTTACCAGTATTTTCTATTACCATTTGACCCTAAACCTAGCCTACACTTTACATGGGATGTGAACTGGGCTTATGTCCCCTTAAGAAACAGTGGGTCCTCACCAGGCTGTGTAGTTTGCTTCATCTCTAAAGACATGCTGCTCTTTAATGTTGTTTATTTACTGTCTTAGTTGTGTGTGGTGTTTAATTTATATTTTGTTATTCTTTGTTTTTTTTTTATTCTAGTGCATTTTTTGTTAGAGACTGAGAGTCCATTTGTTAAACATTCTTTTAAAAATTAAAGTTGATTGATTTATTACACTTACATATTACGCTTTTATAATTATTAGTTGTAAAATGGTCACCAGGCAATATTATCRCTTATCGCAATAAATTTTGAGACAATTAATCGCCCAGCAAAATTTGTTATCCTGACAGGCCTAAACCTTAATAATCAAACATTCAAACTTGTCAAACAAAAAAATCCTACAGATGTAGCAGATGTGTGAAATGAAACAAATGACGAGATTTTACACTCTGAAGCTCTAGTTTCAAGCACAAACCAAGAACACCTCTACTAGAAAAAAACCTTTGTGGTTTTGTAGTAATGCTGCCCAAGTTTCTCTTTAAAATGATGTCAGTGGTGTGTCTGTTTTCTGTGTTTTTACTGTCTGTAGATCGCGAGATTCTTGTGAATTTTAAGAGCTTTTATAATGTACTGTTGAGTTGATTAAAACGTTCAGGATCTGAAAATAAATACTCAGTTGATGTTTGTGTTAAAATACAAATTCTTAGTTTGCATTTTCTCTTTGTGTGCTTGTTCTTCTCAGGCCTACATCAGTATCTTGTACCTGAAACCAAGGACGCAGGTCATACTGAGAGGGAGGAAAGTTCTGGCCAAGCTGGTGTCGAAAAGTCTGACTCACATCGAGCATGATGTGTACAAACCCCAGTTCAGTGTATCCTTAAATATTCGTGTACAATCAGTAAGTAAAAACCTATTAGCTCTTGGTAAAACATCAAGAATTATTACGTACTGGTATTTATCAGGGCAATAAGTTTAATTACAGAATTTTTAGCTGCCACTAAAAGTTTGGGGGCTTATCCGGGATCTGGATTAAGGACCTCTGTTTGAACTTTGTGATTTCATTAGAAAAGTTGTCTTCACTCAGTCCCTTATAAACTAATTTTGGGTTTACAGTGAAGAGCAGCCTCAGTTATTCACACACCAGAGACGAAGTCAAATTGAGATCACAGATTTTTTCACAGAAGAGGCCTGGGCTGGAAGGCAAACTAACATACGTGTTTTTGGTCTGTGGGAGGAAAACATAGAGAAAACCCACACAAACATAAGGGGAACATGCAAACTCTACAGAGAAAGACCCCAGGTCTGAATCGGGGCTTGAACCCAGGACCTGAAGGATCTGCAGATACATCATTTTTTACTCGAGCTATAAATCCTCTGCTTAGACCTGCGTCTCACAGCAGGATAATTGTGTCAAATTCTGACCCGATTTTGCCCTTTCAACAGTCTTAAATACGCTCAGATTATCGTGATGGCTCTAAAGATAATCTTAGCAGATTTTCGTGCCGTGGGTGGCGAGTTAAGAGTGATCTAGTCGGCTCGGAAGGACGTCGGAAACGCTCTGACCTCAGATTGGGGATATTCAACGTTTGATTATTGTTTTTGGCCCGATATCACAGCATGCATGGTGTTCACCTGAAGTCTCGCATAATTTCACTTCTGACATCTGAATGTCCATAAATGACATATCTGTCCGTGTGTTGTGTTGTTTCTTGCCATGTGGCTGTACACCACAAACTGTAGGACCAAACCTGGTACATCCATGATTGTTTTATTCTCACGTGTGGTGTCTCTCAGTCTTTGAAAATCATCCGACTGTTTTAAAATCTTGCTGTGTGACCCAGCCTTTAGCAGTGCAGTCATTGTCTGTGTCCAAATTCAGGGGCTGCATCCTTCGAAGGGTGGGCCAAGAAGGATCTACCGGACCTGTCCATCAATCGAAGGAAAACAAGGACATATTTTGGGCTGCAATTGGAGGAACCTTCAAATTTGAACAGCCTTCAGCCCATCTCTGTCACGTAATCGACCTTTAAATTCAGCCTTCGAGGGATGCATCCCCTGACTCAACACCTTCATCAAACTAGACAATTAATTCATCATCATTGCCAGAGCTCCACTATGGAATATTTCTGTCCAATGTGTGCACACAGCAATAAAATGAATGAGCTTAAGCTATTGGTGATGGAAAGCTTCTGTTTTTAAATTAAAAATGGCTGGTGTTCTGATCTGAAGCACTGAAGCCCTTAAACCCTGCTCCTGTGTGTGGATCTGACAAACCTGTACTCCCTAGTTATAGTCCTCTGCAATTTTAGTGCTTAATGAAAAAAATGACTCTGTTATATTATCTTTAACTGGTGTTTGCCAGAAAGAGAAGATGAAGGTGACTTTTGGCTTTAACCCTAAAAGAAAAGAGCACTTTGGAATCATGATGTACCACAAGAACCGGCTCATTAAGGCCTACGAGAAAGTAGGCTGCCAGCTTAAGGTAACGTAATGAACGATTCTTCTATACTTATATGCTCAAAAACATAAACACCTGATTGATGGTTCAGCATATGTTATTCCTGATTCTCATCAAGGCCTCAGGGCAACGAGTGGGGATTGGTGTTGTCGGCATTATCGAGTGTGATTTTCTCAAACCTGCTCACAACAAGCAAGACTTTGAGTACACTAAAGAATACAGGTAACATACACAAACAAAACAACCAAGAAAAAATGTCTTCAGTGTGAATTTACTTGTGCTTTTGAGTTCATTAAATTAATTTAAACTGGTAAAAACATTTTTTCTGCTCACAAGACTCACCCTAGGTGCTTTGGGCCTAAAGCTCAACGATTACTGGAAAGAGGTGACGGAGAAGAGAGCAAGAGAGCGAGAGTTTCAGGCTCTAGAAAACGATGACAAAGAAACTGAGGAATGCGCCGACACGTGAGTTTATGTGTCACAGTTACACAACTAATCTATGTCTGTCTCTTACACACAAATATCGTATCTTGGCTCCATCACTGAAAATGCTTGTTAGACCTTGCGTTCTAAGATAGAGTCATTCTTCTCGGGCATAAAACCTTTAGCGCTGCTGCGATGATGCGTGTCACTTTTCATGCCTCATTTCTCGAGGCCGAAACCAGTTCTGCAAACAAAATTATTCAGTATCAAATACAGGAGCAGCTGAGATTTATTTACAACAGATGTGCACATTTTTGGAAGAGGGTTGAGATGGACAGGAAAACATCCTTGAGCTGGTGCTGTTTACCTCACCTTCAAACTTCCAGGAAGTGACAGAGATGGTAGAGAGGATAATGAGTGATTTGCGAGCAGGGAGATGGGGATTTGGAAAGAGGGCCTCGGGGGCTAATGGGAGCAGGTTTCAGTCAGAGAAATGGAACGAAGGGTCACAAATCTGGGGAGTTTTATGAGAACAACAGCAAGTATTTGGATCTCAGTAGTCCTCAGGTATTAGGGTTCTAAATTCCTGGAAGTAGTTTTAGGAGGCATGTGTTTGGAAAAGTCAGTTTTTGTGATTTGGTGTAAATTTTAGGACCTGAATCCTGCCGCAGTCCACCGGCAACTGTTTTCCAGAAGTAAAGCTTCAGCTGGGATAAAAGTGCACAAATAGCACAGGCATTTCCTTCCTCCTTAAGGCTGTCAGCAGATTCAGTTAATAGCCTGAGGAGCATTAAAGTGGGACAAACTTGTTTAGTGAAGATCTGAACTAATCCTGAACAGACTGGACTCAGTTTGCATGATCACTCGAGCAGGACAGATCAAGTTCAGCAACACAACACAGTGCTTCCTGGAGATTTTGGTGGTTAACTAACACTGCAAGATTAGTTTTTTCTTTATTCATTTCATTTAAAAACAAAACAAATTCTATATACAACAAAAAAATACAAATCACAAGTAAAATGTGTCGGTAGTTTAACGATCTTAACAACAACCTCTTAAATTTAAGTTAGTCAGACGTAACTAACAAAATTACAGAGTGCCATCTTATCGCCTCACCCTGTTTATGCCTGTGTTTTGAACATAACTGCATGATATTACCCAGTGTTTTGTCTCAAGTGGACCATAATCTGCATTTTGATCGAGTACAAACTGATAGATTGCAAAAAGGTTTGTGGTCAAAAGCTGCTTCAGCTCATAATATAGAAACATATCCTGTAACAAACGCAGCAAATCCTCAATCTATCAGTAAAGTATATTAAGGCTTTTGGTTTATAAATATACACCGTACAGACCAGAGCAAATAAAATAAAGCAAACAGAAACTCCTCTACATTTGATAGAATCCAGCCTGGTTTGGTTCCAGGACTAATCGAGGATAGTTTAATAATTCAGATTCAATTCTTGCAGCAACTGGCTACACAAAAGACTTTAGGGTTCCTATATTCAAATACTGTTCTTATTAAATGTCTGTTGTGCTGAAGAAATAGGGATTTTATTGTCTTATCTTAGCCTGGGTTTTAAATGTGTGCCTGAAGCCACTGAGAAACTGAAAGCAGTTGGCCCACACGATGCGCTTCACTTCTTAACACTCTCATGCAGAAGCTCGTCGTGTGCCGCTGCAGAAATCCTGCTTTAATAGATCCAAACATAAAACTCTGGTCAATGAGTAGTAATTCTGTTTACCTTCAGCTCTGTGGTTTGTGTTTACAGGGATCCGTTGTGGTTGCAGTGTGAGGAATGTCTGAAATGGCGAAGCGTCCCCGCGAACCATTACAAAGTCGCTCCCGAAAGCTGGAATTGCAACCAGAACCCCAATTCACGTTACAGGTGAGCATTTTTATTACTATTGTTTCATTTTTATATCAAAGCTGGCGGTTTGTTGTTTTTTGTTTTCACATCATCACATTCAGATGCATGGTGTAAGTGATGAGAATTATATGATTCAACATCGTTTTGTTATCTTTGTTAAATAGATTACTGGGTTTACACACTCCCTGCTTCCCTCTTGTGTCTGCAGTCCATAAAAGTGTCTAAAACAATAAACATGGGCTCATATCTTCCAGATATCTCTGTGAGTTAAAGGCTATAAGCGGTACCACGTGTCAGGTGTTAAACTGACTTGCTGGGTCTGGTTTTGTTCGCAGAAGCTGCTCAGCACCAGAGGAAACAGAGGAGAGTGAGGAGCTGTTAACACCCAGCTACCAGAAAAACCACAAGAAACTGTAAACTCCTATTTCTCCAAACCTCTTAAACTAACTTTTCACACAGCCTTTCTTCCTGTCTGCCGTTGGGTTTATTTTGGGTTAACATGGTGCGTTGTGGCTTCCATCAGTCTCATCCTTTTTAAAATGGTGTGTTTGTATCTGATAAAGTCTGTCTCTGTTTTGATGCTGCTTAGAAATTACGGTGATGAGACCTAACAGAATCGTGGTCTTTAACATGTTCAAACATCTTTTTACTTCTAGTAAAAATAAAAGGATTGTTCATTTAAAGTGGGGGTTTTATGGAAATGCTATGAACAGTTAATGTCTTACGCCTCAGGTTGAAAAAATAAAGTTTAATTCTGATTATAATAATGAACTAACAGCTAGTTTGAGCAGGGCCAACGTGGAATGCTATAGTATTGGCTATGGTTTAGACCAGGGGTTCTTAACCTTTTTGACCCTTTTATTGAACAAAGTGGCACGAGGCCCAGTCAGACATTACCAATGTATGGATCAAAATGATAATTATTCTAAAGCTTGGTTTAATTTTTATTGTATTTACAGTACATTATAACTAAATTAAATACACTTACATTTTAAAAGTAAAACTCTTGTCAAATAACCACAAGACGTAATTATGACAATTTTTTATATTGTAACCTGCCCATAACAATTATTTGAACAAATACAAATGTCAGTCAACAGACCACTCAGGCTTATCAACACAAAAATATATATTTTTTAACATAAACAATAACAAAAATAGACAATTCAATAAATAAAATTGTGAGCATAAAATAAATAAATTAAAAATGTTTAATGTTTCAAATACAAAAAATTAAAATAAATTTGATAAAGTACAAATGAAAATATGGCCTTTTAAAACTTTTGCATTGTAGAAACAGAAGCTGCAGTTCACATTAGTGACAAACAATAACAGTAACAATAGCTTTTTTTACAAGTTTAAAGTTTCTTTAAAATACATTAAAAATATTAAAAAATAAATTACAAAATAAAATTTGATAAAGTGCAAATTTAAATATAGCTGTATCTGCATTTAATGCAGATTCTGCAACTGTATTTGATAATGTTTTGAACTTTTAAAATACTGCATGACAGAACCAGAAACTGTACTTCATATTAGTGACAAACTTTGGCCTTTTTATTTATTTATTTATTTTTGGCCTCCAAACATTTTTGCTTCTACTTTTCGTATAGTTTTATAGTTTTATACTTTTCAATAAGTTTCCATTTTTGACAGGTATCGTTCTTGTTCTACATATTAAAAAGTTGTTAAACATCTGAGTGGCGCACTACCGCTACTAGTGGTGAGAAAGTGTATTGCACCTTGTTCAAAATCAATGCGGTCTCGCGGCCCTCTGCAGCCCAAAGTTAAAAACTGTTGTTCTTTTGAGGCCCTCAAGGTGGCGCTCACGGCCCATAGGTTAAGAATCTCTGGTTTAGAGTATTACAGGGGCGTGGCATAAAGGGGCAGGGTGTGGTCGGGGTATAGTCAGTGGCATCTTTGTTTCTCCTTCGCTGCCAAACTTCATTCAACTTTTGCATCTTTTTATTTTCTTTTTACTGTAGATTTTTTGGTGTTTGTCAGGTAACTCTGGGCTTCAGTCAGAAAGGAGGTCAGGGGGTTTATATTTTTTCAACTCGAGAAAGATGAGCCTGATGGTGGATTGAGCTGTTTTTTCCATGAGACTACCATGTTTCCTTTTGCCCGCCAATGCAAAATGTATTAAATGGTCACGTCCAGAAAAAAATTGACTTATACTGTTTATCATAACTCATAAATATACTCAAATAATGTTTTTTATCAACACAACTTTAAAAATGGTTTGAAGTCTCAACTTTAGACCCAAACTGAAACAGAGTCTCAGAGAAGGCGTAGCTTTAGAGCAGTTTAAATAGGTCATGTGAATAGACTTCAGAGGGTTAATATACCGGCATACATTTTAAATATCGTCACCATATTTCAATACCGAGATATAGAGTATCATCATACCGCCTAAGCCTAATGTCCAGTCTAAATTAACATAATGAGGGACCATACAAATGCATAGTTTTGTAGAGATATACAGTAATATTCTTGCTGTGGGCTACAGCTGGTTTTTGCTTGCCTTACAATTAACCACAGTCTTACGTAAATACCCTTCAATAGATAGCCATTAAATTGTCCACCCAGTCAAAATTACACTTTATTTTTCCAAACTAAAGCCATTTGAAGTTATCGACAGTAGAGAAGACTATAAATATTCACAACCTTTCCACTGAACCGTGCTTCAGAAGATCTGAACTATTCCTTTAAAAATCAAACAGCCTTTTTCAGACAGAGGATGAACCTGAGGCAACATAAAATCAAAGAAATAATTAAATGTTCTGCTGTTAATGTCCCTTTAAAACAAGAAAATTGGATTTAAACTTAAATTTTCCTCTGTTAGCGGTTAATAAATCACTTTGACTCACTTGCTTCACTGGTTTATTGATCACTAGATGCTATTATCCAGCTGCTTACTAAGTTTTTTGAGCTACAAATTAACAAATAAGCAGAATTTATTTTAGTTGATAATCACGATTCAATCATTTCGTCAGTTGTTTCTCTTTGTGAAGTTATTTTTGTTGTTGCAGGGAGCTGTCCAAAAGGAGAAAACAGGAAAAATCACTCAAGGTATGTTGTGTGACTACAGTTTTGATCAACTAAATTTGTAAAAAAAAAAAAAAAATCAACAAAATAAAAAAAGAATTCTTGTTGGTTTCGCAGGTGTCGCAGGTTGAGGAACATAAGGCCACGCGTCAAATCTTGCCGCGCATTTCATCAGATCCTCTACAGCCTTCGTCTTCGTCCACACAGACACCTGAACCTCGGACTTTAAAAAGTCAGAAAAACACACAGGAAGAGAGACTCACAGATGAGGACACGGACACACGCGTCCCGCCAGATTCTCACAAAGGCACACGCACAAATGACGACGATGCGCGTTCGGCCACGCGCTCGGACGAGAGAACGTCTGAAAAGGACACAGCCGGTGAAGAGAAGAATGAATCAGGGCGAGAAAAAACACACGTGGAACTCGACCAGAGGATTGATAACAAAAAGAGAGACGCGCCGATGGAGCTGGAGGAGGAGCAACACACAGACATGTTCAGGTGGGGAATGTTGTCATACGTATGGTGTAATATAACAAATAAGATACATGATTTAGTCCAAGCTGTACACTTTGAAATAAAAAGAGTGTAACCTTTGTCAGCGTGATACTAAAAAGCTTTTAAAATATCTGTAACTGACCTTTCTTTGTGTAGCCGCAAAAGGAAACCTGAATCTTTCTTCACCTATGAGACAAAAAAGCACTGGAGGGGGTCCCAGCCCGACTCAGAAAAGAGCACAGAGGATTTGCATCCTGGGACACAAACAAACACGTTCAAGAAGAGCAACAGTCAGGTGGAGAAATCCAACGCTTTGCAACAGACCTCGACCAGCCACACCTGGACCCACTCGCCCCTCGCCACCCAGACTGTGGTGGTGTCCCCGCTGAGCAGAACGGAGGGGCCGCAGGGCAGGACGCTGCCTCCTGAGGGGGGTGACCGGGAGGCCAAGGTGCAGAAGCTGGCTTCGCTGGAGAGGGAGGTTCAGAGGCTGCGGAGCCTGCTGGGCTTGGAGGTCCCGAGGACGACTCAGGGGACGATGACGGCGGCTGATGAGTTCACTGACACGCCTAAAGAAGGGCTGGAGGGAAAGACTGCGACCACAACGAGCAGGGAGGTCGGCTGCCAGACGGCCATGGCTGAGGTCAGTGCAGCTTAATATAATCTGAATAAATTATAAGAACGAGAAGTGATTCAGTCACAGTTTGATCCTGTGCTTTACTTGAAATTTGTCAATTTAGACATGACGTAAAATACCAGTATTACTAATAATACTAGGACTAAAGAAAACATGTTTTTTCTGTATTTTAAATGGTTAAAATTTGTGGGGTTTTCAGTTTAATATGTATTTACAATGTTGAGGTGCAAAAAACAGCATTAAATGGAAAACGGATCAAACTCATTAAGCTTCAGTAATTTCATTGAGATCATTTGGGTTCCACTAAATCCTGCTTTAAAGGCTTGATTTTAATAAAGTTGCAAGGATTAGTTTCCAAGCAGAAGTCTTGTGACCCAACAGTCTTTGTTTCGGTTAATCTCAACTGGATTTTAACCATTCATCTAAAAGCAAACTTCTTTTTTATTATTATTATTCTGTCCAGCAGTGCTCCACTTCAGCAACAGAACCAGACGCAGAGCAGGAAAACAAATCCAGGAAAGAAAAGACTGAAAGCCAAAGCAAAATGAAAATAAGTGAGAGTGACTCTTGTGATGACGGCAGGTGAGTGTTACACACACAAACACACACAACTAAATCATCTCCTTGACTGAATTTTTATTCATCACATCGATGTAGTTCTACTATTTAATAGTAAGGCGATGACTTGTAAAATACTTCCTGTTTTTTGTTTTTGTCTTATATTGATACTATTTAGACTTTCTAATTATTATTATTAATTATTTGAAGGTCTATCCGGGATGTTGTCGTGTAAATTAGCCTAGGTAGTGGTGCAACCTTTCCAATCAGAAGAAACATTTCTGCCCCTTGGTTCGCTAAAATAAAATGTGTCCAAACCGCAGCTGTCATTATCAACTGGTGGCCTGTGGGCCACTTCAAGTTTGTTGAAGGGGGCTTTTTCAGCCTGTGGGGCTGCCATTATAAAACTAAATAAATACAGTGAAACATTTGTAGGAGGGTGGGCTTAAGGTGGCATTAAGCTTCTCCCACATCTCTCATACACAAAGTTATGAGGAAAGTTTTACCAAGGTATTTCTCATTACTTTAAATATCTTGACTGTGCATTTATTCACACAAATTGAACAAATCATAAGTACACTTAATTGTGGGTATTCCTATAAAAGGTGTCAAAGTTAAATGAGATGAAAATCCGCGTCCGAATTTCAATTCACATCAACTCAGATTACTTATATAGAATAGTAAAACGTCAGTTCTGATGTTAACAACCAAACAATTTTACTGGCACTTTTAGCTTAAGTTTTGGCAAATTAAGAACAAGGAAAGGAGGAAAGTAATGTTAGTAGGGTACTACTAATTTTACTTTATCAAAAGTGTGGTCAACCGGATCAGCACGTCTTTTCTGCGCTCAGGAATCCAAATGACACGTCGCCCCCAACACGTCATCTTTACCTGGTGATGTCTTCTTGAGTCACCCCTGGGTAGGAACTGTCTCACCTCCGATCAGTCAGGGAACTTTTTTATCGGCTCGCTTACTGTTCCTTGGAGAGTAGGTGTTTTCCAGGTAACTTTTCGTCTGTTTCAGTCCAAGCCAGAAAGATTCAAGCTGCACATCCGGTTCCTTCTTTCAAAATAAAATCTCCCCTCGGGAGGTAAAAACACACTTAGAGACTTGAAGCCTCGGGGTGGGACTGGCTGGCGTGTCGAGTCCCGGCTGTTAGGTCCCCCCTAGTTAGCTCATGGGCTGAGACCCAACAGGCCAAACTGAGTCTCTCCCGAGAGAGAAAACTCAGCTTTCCTTCCTAGTTGGAGTCAGGAAGAAGAGTGTGTCTCTCAAAGACGTCCGTGGTTAGTAATAGAAATGGATGATCTTTGGTTCCGCCCTCAGGCGTAGAGATGAGTCAGAGAAAGAAAGAAAGATAAAGATTTGCCAGCCAGGCGCCAGTCAAGGTTAAATTCTGTGGTTGTTCAACAACATGATATGATAACCTCTTTAGCTTTCTTCTGATAGACTCTAAGAGAAATCACTGCAAAACATTTATGATGATTAATTAACATTTCTGTTTCATAATCATTGTGAACTGTTCTGTTAGTCCAGATAAATGAAAGATTTCTCAAGAAAAATCCACAATTATATTACTGTGTTCACAGTAAAATAAAAACAGTGATTTACATAAAAACACAATGAAAACATTGTAATGATTTTCTGATTTTTTTTTATGCCATTATTAATCTTTTAGGCACGATAAAAGAAAAGAAGTGGTTCCACTTTTCTTGTGACAGTCATTATCATGATTTAACAAATGCATAAACATTCTTAGTTAAACAACAAATGAATCACGAACAGAAGAGATTGTTCTGTCCATTATCTGATTTAGAGAACTGAGAAATTCTCTTCTAGGTTAGAATGACCTGTCATGGCCTAAAAAGAGTTCAGTTTGTGACAGAGTTCCTGTCCTCTTGTCAGGCCTGTCCGAAGCCTGCTTCGAGGCAGTAAATCTTGTTTCTTTACACGAGGTGACCCCTACACATTCAAATTTCTTTTTATCTTTACACATTACGACAAAAATAACCATATTTATGTAAACAAAATGTTTAAATACTTTTTACCAAATTTAATAAAAATTAAAACACTGAACTATGCAGAGGAATGTTTTTATTTTCCCTAGTACTTATCGTTATCGAATCAACTCACTATATTTTTTCTCAGCAACTTATTTTAAAGATATACTGTTTTTAAAATCCTAATGGATTTGAAAGAAGAATCAGTCTGTAAGGCTGGAAGTTGGATTATTAAAGCGAGCAACATGTTTTACTCTTTGTATTAGTGTCAATCACATATTCAGAAACAACTTGACAGGAAAACTGCCAAAGCTAGCCTTCTCTATTTAAATAAACAAAAAATTCAGTCTCATGTTGGGCATTGCAGAGGGACCAAAGGACCGCATGTGGGCCAAGAGCCACAGGTTGCAGGTCACTGGCCTAAACTATAAATGTTATAGCACACACTAGTGTTAATACCAAACACTGAATAAATCTGTGTGTCTTTTTAAGCATCAGGGTTGGTAATGTTTTGATTGTTTTAATTATGACAGTTAATTGCCACCATAGAAAACAAATCTTCTAGGGATGAGTCACTTTGACCAACATACGTGTTAAACCTGTCTGTTCCTGACAACATGCATTAGTCATATGCTTCATTTGTTACGTATGATGACACACAAGACTTTTACATAGTTTTATTGACTAAACTGTGTTTCTCCAAACTGACAGCCTTTATTATGTAGATCAGAACAGCTGTACTATTTAAATGTTCACAATATAACATTCACTTAAATCACTATTTTTAAAAAAATGGTTTCCTTTTTTTTTTAGATCAGTGGTCGGCAATCTGTGGCTCTGGTCCCTCCTCGAAGTTTTGACCAACATGAGCTAAAATGTTTTGTTTTTTTAGGCAGAGAAGGCTAGCTTTAGCAGTTTACCTGTCTATTTGTTTCCAAATATGTGATTGATATTAATACAGAAAATGAAACATGTTGATTAGATCATCTAGTACATGACAGGTGGGGGGCGGGGGGCAATGCTGGTCCTCGAGGACCGCCATCATGCATGTGTTATTTGGTCCTCTGCTCCAACACTACTGATTTGAATGAATTGGAAGAGTTATTTCAGTCACTGAATCAGTTTGTTGGTTCGTTGGAAACAAGTAAAACATGCAGGACAGTGGCCCTCGAGGAGCCAGGATTGCCCACCCCTGAGATTCTAGTTTTTTATTGATCACTGTAATAATCCAACGTCCAGCCTTACAGACTGATCTTTCTCCCAAATCCATGAGGATTTTAAAAAATATATATTTAAGATAAGTTGCTAAGAAGAAATACATTGAGTTGATTTGATCACAATAAAGTGTTAGAAAAAAAACATATGCCTCTGCATAGTTTAAATGTAGTTGGTATTAAATACTTTTTCTTGTTTACAAGAATAGTCTCATATTTGTCCTAATGTGTAAAAATAAGACAATTTTAATATGCACTGTATAATTTTTTATTTTATAATTTCAACCCCACTGAAGTGGCACACGGGCCACCAGTTGATAATGACAGTTGTTGTACATTGTATTAGTGGATTAGGAGACAGAAATGACTCTTTTTGTTGTAAAGGTTGCAGAGCTGTGTTTTAGATGTAAAATAATCTGTTCTCTAAGTATCATTCAGCTTGACTGCTTCATGAGAACTTCTTGATTTTTCCCCTCTCTGCAGCACTGCTCCTTCCAAACCTGCTTCAAAGATTTTGAGCTATCATTTTTGTAATACTGGTTTTCATCTCCTCAGATCACCACAGCAGAATCTACAGGACATCCGTAACAATGTGGTGGTACTTTTGACTGCCCTGCTGCCCCAGCTGGACCTGGCTGGCATCAGTATGGAGACGGCCGATGTGGACAACATCCTGCAGCAGATCATAGAGGTCAACGCACTGAAGCTATGAGCGTCTGGGCTCAGCAACACTGAAAACACAGTCAAACGTACTCAATGACCGGGTTTTACCATCATACGATACGCCTTTCTTCATGGGTGCCAAAAGTGTATTTCAGACTTTGTCTAATTTTAGATTTAAGAGACAATATTTTATCACTGCAGAGTCAGAGATTACCCAGATAAGGTTCTTTGGGTTGTCCCGGACACAGAGGTCCCACTTGAGATGTGAAGTGAATTAAAAAAAAAAACATCTGGACAAAAAATGTCATTGATTGCATTAAGCTATGCCACAACAAAATATTAGTGTGGGCCTTTATTTTATTGTTTATTAGGCTATGTATATAGACTGTAGCTTAGGTCAGATTGCCTTACTGTTAAGTTTGCTAATAGATAATACAATGTACCTCAGACGCCATTCTAAGACAATTTTACTTTTGAAGTAAGTCAGAAAACAACGCAAGAACGTTCTCTCTTTTACAAAACTGCAAGAAACAAGAAGTTTCATTTCTACTTAAAAAATGAGTAAATAAGTTTGAGCTCATCTAAATTATTTTTGCTTTCATGTAGATAGTCAGCAGTTTGTTGCAACATCATTTTAAACATGTTGTAGAGTTTGGTGCTCCTTGGGACAATTTGTTGAGAGCCCTTGAGTGCAAAGCTTTGTTTTTTTTTTATCTAAATTTGTTTCCTATTTTGCAATACTTTTTTGTACCGGTTTTATCTGTTTTGCATTAAACAATTATTAAAAAAACATCTATAAATGTGTGTTCTATTCACATGAAAAGACGTCATTCATTTACAGTTTGTCATCAATAAATATGACTTGTGTTTGCAACAGAATATGGAAATAGTTTATTTTCTGGCTTAACTTGTTCTTAACCTAATTCTGAACCAAAATGTAATTTTAAACTGTTGTAGTACTTCTCTTTGACCACAAGATGTCAGTGAAGATCAGTAATAAAAATGACAGATTCCAATGAAGTCCTTATTTTATTACCTCTTTTTAATCCAAGGTATTTGGTAAATTATCAAAGTATCCAAACTGTTCAGATTTTATATAAATTGTGTTGTATCTAAATTTATTTTATTTTATTTTTATTTTTGTTTTGTTTATAACAGGGTTTTTACCTGCAGTATTAATGCCAAACGATAAGCCAAATAAATCCATGAAACCTTTGCACCATACTTTTCTCACATTTCTCTGATAAAACAACTATTTTACTTTTTAAGGTGGGTGTAAGTTTATTCGTTTGACAAATATTTACAAAAAAATGTGCTTTCTGAAAAAAGTTGTGTGCACAAAATTTATCAGAAATACAAGTGGACCATTCATAAAGCAGATGCTAAACAAAAGATTAAGCAAAAAGCAGAATATCTAACTACATTTATATAT